TTGCATCTACTTGACATACCGGTTATACCATTAGTGCGTAATTCCTACCAGCTTAACCCACGTATAACATCATCCGTCAATTTTATCTCCACCGAAAAAGACACGCTATACACGGTCGGTACACGTATTTACCAGGGTGACGAAATGTAACGGCGTCGGAGCTCAAATACTCCTGATTTACTGTCGCGACTCCCTGATTTGACTATGCAGGAAGTCCGTGTGACTCCGCTTGAAGAACTGTTCTGCGATATACTTAACTGAGTACGTTCCCAGCAGCACCCAGCCTCGCCCGAAATCTACCGTATTTTTTTCAGCAAATTATCCAAAGGAAAATGTGGCCAGACGTTGCATCGCATAAATCTTCAAGAATAAAGCACATGACGGTTATGTTATTGTTGTTATGCTTTAGTTTTTGAACTTTCAGGGACTTGCCGAACTCCTCATGTCATTTCTCTCGCTGCCATCAGGGCAACTCCCTCTTTTTGAGGGCAGGCGAGCTTTTCCCGTTGAGACTTCCCTTGCTTCAAAAAAGTTCATTTCTACCCCTCGCTTAATACTTGATATCTATGGACGCGGAATTTGAACAGTGCGTGACGGAATCACTCCTCTGGTGCTGTGAATAATATTGGGCACCGGTGCGTTACTTTCGAACTCGATCCTTCGAATTTCGCCTTCGACGCCTACCAGGTGATCACCTTTTTGTAACGTTCAACGACACCGTCGACGGCGTTCACTTGCTTCCGATAAAAAACTTCAACATAGCGTATTTTCGAAATCCGACTGAAACCACTTCCAGTCTGCTTCCTCTTACTTCCACCGTGCCTTCATCTCCTCCGCTCTTTCCCCTCCTCCTCCTCCCATCTCAATTCCGCTCCTCCTTCTACATCCCTTCTCTTCCTCGTCCTTTCTCTACTCATCCTCCTTCCTCAACAACCTCCCCTTCCCTCCTCCACCTTCCTCCCCGTCCTCCTCCCTCGTATGTGAACTTGATCGTGGCATCCTTCTCCCTCTCCTTCCCCTCCTCCTCCTCCTTCTCCCTCTCGTGTCCCCCTCCTCTCCTCCTCCCTCTCCCCCCCACCTCCTCCTCCTCCTCCCCCTCCTCCATCGTACCTCGTATGTGAACTCGATCGTTGTGTCCTTCTCCAGCTTGACCTTGGCCTCACTGGTCAGGTTCACGTCCACTATCTGGTCCCCGCTGTAGCCGATGTCCAGCTTCTTGTGTGTCCAGATGTAGTACGCGTCGCTCGTCTCGCTCGTCTCCCCGACGATTCCTGCGACAACGCGATCATACGTTCACTTGTTAAATTTTTTTATTGGGGGTATCGGGTTAGTGGCACGACCGCGCGCATTCTTGCGGAGCGGCGCGCGAATGAAACTCGCTCGAAGTCGTTGATTTACTTAATAACTCCGTAATTACGGAGTGAACGTGAGATCTGATATCTGAGCCGAGTACAATTACGAACTTGCTCCGTCTCTCTCTCTTGCACGAACGCACGCACACACGCATGCACGCACTCGCACGCACGCACGCACGAACGCTCGCACACACGCATGCACGAACGCGCGCACACTCGCACGCACGCACGAACGCTCGCACACACGCATGCACGAACGCGCGCACACTCGCACGCATGCACAAACGCGCGCACGCGCGAACGCACGCACGCACACACATGCACGCACGCACACACCGTGCCGGCACACTCACCCCACACAGGCAGGTCATCTATGTACATCTGGTACCAGTAGTGGTTCCTCACGGCGTACGTGAACGCATTCAGCTTGTCCTCAGTGAGAGTCACGCTGCAATACTTCGTCTTCGAAATGTCAGCTGCAAACGCAAATGCGAGAATGATCGAGAATTATCGAGAACAACACAGAACAGATAGTTTTCGGAAAACTGCACCGCGCACCAGTCACTCCCTCAAACTAATCACTTAATCAAATTAAACTTAATCTTCTAACGAACAAGCGGCGCGACGTCTCAAATGACGATTCACCCGTGCGCGATCTAATTTTTCAAATCAAATTTGGTAATGACTGATCAAAATATAGGATGATGGCAATAAGGGTTAGAGACCAAAATAAAATGCGTGTGCGCGTGATGGAACAAGCCAGCACGCAATGCCAGCTGTCACTACAAGTTGTCACGACGGTGCATTCGTTGCCATCGGCAACGAGCCAAACACAGACGCGAGTGGAATGTTAGAATTGTTCACACTCACTGTTCCCAAGAGACTCAGATCAAAACGAATGTTTGCATTCAGTGAGCAAAACACTTTTAGTCTAATTAACTGTCTGCCTGCATATCTACCTGCCTGTCTGTCTGCCTACCTACCTACCTATCTAACTATACATCTATTTATCTGCATTGACAAGCCTCCGCCACAAACAATCCATCAATAGCCAGAGCTAAAACGGGAATAGCAGATCTGAATACATCCATCACACGGCCATACATAGTGCCGTACAACATACATAGCCCTCGGCCTACCACCGTCACTCCCGCGGGACACCTAAAACTAACATAAATAATTTAAATTAACGTCGTTACCCTCCCGAGTAACTAATTAACCGACCAGCTGCACTATGTAACCCCTCAACGCGCACGCGCGCGCGCGCGATAAACCCGCGATCAGATCGAGAGAGACGGCGACCTTTGAAGTCTACGTCGAGACCGCTGAACTCGAGCTCCACTCCCTGCAGTGCCTCTCCTAGCGTCTCGTGGTAGTGACTGATATCCTTCTTCTGTCCGGCGCAGAACGGCAGAGAGAAGTAAGCGTACGTCTCCTGTCTGTTGTGGTACGGTCCGACGGTATTCATCCACAGCACCACCTCCTCACTGTCCGTGTACTATAGAGAGAGAGAAGGGGAGAAAACATTAACACAAATAGAGAGGGAGGGAGAGAGAGAGACAGAGCGAAACAGATAGAGAGGGGGGGGGGGGCAATATTAACAAAGATAGACAGGGAGAAAGAGAGAGAGAGAGATAGAGAGAAGCGACAAAGAGTAAGAACGAGAGAGAGGAAGAGATATAGAGGCAAAAAAGAGAAAGAGAGAGATAGAGAGCAAAAGAGAGAAAGAGTGAGAGTGAGAAGCGACAAAGAGTAAGAACAAGAGAAAGAATGTAAGAAAGACACACAGAGAGGTTATGGGTGAACCACTAAGGGGTTATGAATAGGTTGATGATGATGCTATTACTGCTTCGTCTATCAGGGGATCACTCCCTGACAATCCAACAACTATCCGTACCAAATAACTCATCTTCCTTGGCTACGTCGTTGCCATTGACAACACTTACACTCAAAATTCGACTGGATAAGGATGTCAACTAGGATAGAGTATTACCGACAAAAATCGATGTTGTAATTGTGACATGATGCTTGTATCAATGTATGTCGTTGTTACACCGCCAGTGTTACAGTAGTGTTACTGTATAAATGTATTTGCAATGCCATTGCCGGTCGGGTCAAGGAAGTGTTGAATTTAATTTTAGTTATGCTAGTAGTTGCTACGTTGACAGTTGAAAGTTTTAAACGTACGGCAATGCTAAATAATTCAAGTATAACGTAAGCATAGGATCTCAATGATATGATCAACACATCAACTGAAAAGGTGTTATGCAGATAAGTAAGTATTATGTAAACAGAATCAAAAGCTATTGGTTACGACAAACTTACAGTGTGTGTGTGCTCATCACAATGGCAAATCTCCGCTCCCAAATAAATTATATATAGACATATTAACCATAAACTCTTCATTTCTGTTGACTGTGGTCTCGATTGCAATCAAAACACTTAGATATTCGTAGATTTGCACAAACGCTCGACTAGTAGTAAACAAACTTCGCTATGGCTGCAGCCACGTCAACAGCCGCTAGGGGGAGTCCGTTTCACTTCTTCGCCCATTGATGTCGCTGAGTACGTCACGTAAACACGATGGCAAGCGGCAGTGGAGATCGAAAATATGATCCAAACAAGTTCAGAAAGTATACATTCGACACCGAACCTATCCCCCGATTACACTGCTACCACCCCGATACAGACCGGCTCATAGCAAACGAGGTACCCGAGTAAATATGTAATAAATTATTTTAATTATCCCATTCAAGTGCAGCAAACTGTGACTGTGCCGTGTTTACAAATTTTTACAAAACTCAAACTGAGATCAGCAGAACTGAATGTGCTACAAAGTTCAAGTTCATATATGGGCAGACTTTTATTATTATTATTATTATTAATACTTTATTGCATGAATTCAGATACAAATACATGTACTGACGACAGTTTTTTTCATGGAGAAAAAATCTGATAAAAGTTGATAAAAAATCTGATAAAATGTTGAGTAGAAAATTTCTGACGGATACAGTACAATTAGAATGCTATACAACAAGAAGAAAAAATGGATACCAGAAAAAAAAAAACTTTAGCAGAGTCTATACAAGTACCGGTATAGTGATTAAGGTACACTTTAACATCATTTTGGCACTCATACGTACACCATTATATACATATTACACAAACATACGCACACATACACACACTTATATTTATATAAATATGGACATACTGATAAATGCAATAGTGTTGAGCAGTTAAAGTGATCCTGCTGCCAGTGCCCTTAACAACAATGACTCGCTCAAAATTCGTCCAAACGGTTTCGGAATTCAAGCGGGTTGCGTCTGTTTCAGAGACCGGTTGTTATCACAGACACGCACCTCGCCGACACCGCGCTGAAATGGGATCTAGAGTACCTCGCTAAACACCTAGGAAGCGGCCAACACACCGTCTACCGATCGAAGACGCACAAATTCAAGGTATCGACAATGTCCTTTAACACAAGTCTTTAGTATGATCTTCGCAGAGTTTCTCGACAAGCTCAGAAATCCCGGAAAAGATAGTTATATTGCTACACTTTGGGACATGTAATATTGGTATTGACAATGCACCTGCCACCACAGTTCGTAGCTCGTGTTCTGTGGTGCACGAATAGAACGTGCGAAAGCACACGGACCTTAACTCGAACTTTATTTATGCGCCATACTGACGAGCGAACGATGGACGGCAGTGCTAGAAGCAATTTCGATAGTTAAACTTAATATATATCGTCTTCACGCGACATATTGGCATGTGTGTAGATTGTCGTACGTAACAGGCGTTGATTTCTCGTGCGCATTTCGGCCGTGCCGCGAGAGAAGGTCGGGTCGATTTTAGCGCATTTTTCGACGTTGCAGTATTACGACGAAAAGAAGATAAAAAATCTTCCATCGTTCACGCCACCCACGCAAGTCCTTCGTATGACCTTCGCAGAGTTCTTAGACAAGCTGAGAAATCCTGGGAAAGATAGGTATGTCTCTACACCCTGGGACCTGTAATATTCTTTATGAATAGCCTTGCGGTATAGTTCATCTTCGGTTGGTAAACCTGTGCAACAGTTTATGCAGTTCCAGCATGATCTTTATTATGAGTGAATAGAGGGGTGATAATTCTTCTAAATTGTATGCCCAGTGCTCATTTTCTAGCTAGAAATTGTAACTAGATCTATAATAATGTGTGATAACAAATGATAATTTATTTCAACATTGCAAAGACAACAAACAGTACATGCACGTATAGATGTGACGATACGTAGCATTGACATAGACCGTCTCCCTTCGTTTTCTAATGTTAGGTACTACCTACAGCAAGCTCTGAATGACACTGTGGGGAAGCAGTTGGTGCTAGACTATCTAGGCTTCAACTGGGACTATGTAAACGAACAACAGAGGAAGTTCAAATGGGGACCACTCACTTCCAATTTACTGCTAGTAGGGATGCCAGGTGAATAGTTGGTTTTTATTGTAGCCTTTTCTAATTAGTAACCTCCCCGCATATTGTCGTAATAAGTACCCATGCTTGCGATCATGCTTGCGAACACCGTACAATTCGATACTACACGATACGATTAGATACAATACGATATGTATGACAGAATCGCTTGTGTTGCCGTCATCTAAAAATTACGAGTTTCATCTTGCGTCACAACGTGAAACTCATGCACTCCTGTCTGCTGCATAACTTAACTAGCATGTGCATGCACGTGCGTGTGCATGGCCGGCTCGTCGATGCACGCACCATCTATCTGTATCTCTTCCTGCGGCGGCGCCATCTATCTGTATCTCTTCCTGCGGCGGCGCCATCTGTCTGTATCTCTTCCTGCGGCGGCGCCATCTACATCTCTCTCTCGGCAGGTAACGTGACGCCGGCGCACTACGACGAGCAGCAGAACTTCTTCGCTCAGCTTCGCGGATACAAGCGGGTTCTGCTCTTCCCACCCGAGCAGTTCGGCTGCCTCTACTCGCACCCCATACACAGCCCCCACGACCGCCAGAGCCAGGTCGACTTCGACGCTCCTGACCTCGCGCGATTCCCGCGCTTCCGCGAGGTCAGAGGTCACAAGGTCGTGCTGGGGCCGGGCGACGTGCTCTACATACCGATGTACTGGTGAGTCTGCATCACCGGGGGGGAGGGGATGCGTCGCCGTGGCAATGGAGGGGTGGAAGCTGTCGACCGAGGTTCGGGTTTATTAGTTTCTTTTCATGTGACGCCGCGCTTGGTTTTCGACGGCGATCGTTCAGATTTATGCATGTGATGATTTGATTTCTGATTTAAAAACCGTCTAAGGGCACGTTCTTGTGTTTGCGCCTCTTCGCGCGTCGCTGACGGCAGTAACCGACTCCTAACTTAATTGAGATTTCGTCCCACAGGTGGCACCACGTGGAATCCCTGGTGGACAGTGAAGTGACCGTATCTGTGAACTTCTGGTACAAGGTAAGCTGTCGCACGCGCGCGGCGATTTAGCGGTGATCGGGGAAGCTACGCGGCATACACCAACGCGTGCACAGTAAGTGTCTCTAGATGGATATCCCACGACTTGTGACCGGCAGTGTTTGGTAATCGGGGATGTTGTTGTTGTTGTTGTTGTTGTTGTTGTTGGTTGTGTTTTGTAGGGAGGAACAGTGGACAAGATTGAGTATCCGCTCAGCATCCAACAGAAGGTGGCGATCATGCGCAACATAGGTAATTGTTGTTGTTGTTGTTGTTGTTGTTGTTGTTGTTGTTCTTATTATTATTGTTATCAGTGTTAATACTATTGTTATTATCATAGTTCTCATTATAATTATTATTATTATTGGTGTGTGTGAGCGAGTCATTATGGGATGTGAACGAAACAGTAACTTGTACACTAGGAGGAAATATCCTATCGTCTCGTAAAACCTGCGCCAAAGTTTCCGCTTTACGACGTTTTACTCGCTAAGCGCGAGTCGAGAAAACCACTAATCATGTTTCCGGATCAGACGATTAACGAAACGCTGTTTTTTTTCTGCTGCAGAGAAGATGCTGCTGGAAGCTTTGCACGACCCGGACCAGATGGCGCCACTGCTGTGCGACATTGTCAAGGGTCGCTACGACCTCTGATGTGGTCACGTGATGTGGTCACGTGATTACACGTATCGTGTAGTTGATTGTACGAGATTTTAAGTGCGAGCATTCGTCATCTCTCGCCGCAGTGCGCGCCGAGTTTCCGCAGAATGCTCGGATGTTTCTTAGGTAATTTACCTTGATTTTAGGAAAGCAGTTGGATTCACAAAGACACGTTTAGCCCGGTTTGGGTCAAAAGCGCAGTTTTCTCTTCACAGGTCACGAAGCAGTGTCTAGACTCAGTTAAATATAGATGATCAGGGATTAATTGGTTTTATTCTCGCGAGAAAAGGAGATTTTTTTAGTTCGCGTCAGACTATTAAATTATATATACTTATTATCACGAGTGATTTTTCGTTTGGTAGTAATTGCAAAATGCGACAGATTTCTTCACCCACGCTTTTGATTACCATTTCACTGTTTAGGGTGCTGTTTGCATTATTATATATTAGGTTGTTTTTTTATTATAAACAGATATTTTTTTGGTTGATAGTGAGTGTAGCGAGACACTGCAGACATTCAGTGAGGGGTTTCAAACAAAATATCTTCAACATGTTAGCGTGAGCTTCGTCGGAGGTCGTTGAAGGACGCCGTAGCTAATTACCTCGCTATGTAAATACACTGGAGTGTAAATGTTCTTGTCTTTTACGTCACGTTCAGGGTAACGTAAGTAACTGCCTAGCAGAAATAGTTGTAGAGTTGCAGAATTTGCCTAGCAGAAGCTGATGTCCACACACAGAGTGCTTCCACTATGTGCCACTAGGGGGCATCTGCTCACCTCTAATGCTGCTTCCAAGGTCATGTGAAGGTTTGCAGTGTCGAACGAAGAATGACGTGCACTGATTTACGAATAACAAGACGAGTGACGATACATCCGTTAATTAATTGATGCGATGTTGTTCTGTCTCTGTGTCATTGCATGTGAGGTACGGTGGCTCTATGCAAGAATAGAGCTGGGTTACATGTCTACACGTGCGTGCGTGCGTGCGTGCTGTGAAACTGTGTGCGCGTGTGCGTCCGTGTGTTCACGTAAGTCTATCCACATTCTGTCGTTTGTTTGTAGGACATCTTATCCTGTCGTTGTTTGTTTCTCTTTCGTCTCAGTCCGATTGTACACGTACAAATTGGTAGCGATTCTAGATTGTAACTGTCGGAATGAAAAGTCTGTCTATAGCCGAGGGATGCATTATTTTTGTATCGATTGCAATGCAAAGGCGACACGTACATGCGAACCACCGAGTCACTGCCATCTTTCACTTATAATAATTTCATTTATAATTTATTGATCAGGTTGATGTTGGAGATGAGGTATCATCGTTGTTATTGTTGTTGTTGTTGTTGTAGAGACGACACCATTGGTGTTGATGCGTAAGTTTTGCGTAAGACGCTCATTTATAACTGCGATTCATTGATATACGTTTAATCGATTGAAGTGGTTTAATTACGCACGTCCAAAAAGATGGTTGACGAGTAAAGTTGGGGATGTATTACATGATACTGTTACTGCTGCATATTTTACTCTGACTCAGGAACTAATTCACGTGGGAAAAAATGTAACGAATTTTACATGTCACATGTTTTTGATACAAGATATATAACGTAACATAAATCAACATAGATGTGTGAGTGCGTGCATGCATGGGTAAATCTAGAAAGAACACCCGTTGGACATCATGGTTTGAAGCACAATAAATAATTTATTTCCTGTTTGCACGCCGTGACATGGCCAAAAAGATTTGTGCATCGCACGGAAAAAATCTCTGCCGCCCGAAGCAGAAGCTGCCGATGACATCACAACGCAATCGGTGACATCACAACGCGTGAAGCTGTGCGATCGCTCCCGGCCGGGAGGATGCTGGGAGCGGGGTAACCACGGCAACGCATCTGTCGTCTGCGTGTCGTTCGAATTAAAGAGAGAGAGAGAGGCACGCAGCAACACGACCGGAGTAAATACGCGGCAGAGGTCCCCCGATCACAGCGCCCTCTGTATTTTGCCTCGCGTGGCGCCCCCTGTGTGGTGATTGCGTCTACATGGCGAAGCTAATGCGAGAGTTTCTCGGACACACGTGACTTCTACTTTCCGCTACATTGACTTCTATCGACGTGTCTCGTGGCGGGTCGCCCCTGTGACGTACGACCGACTGCGCTAGCGCCCCCACGGCAACGACGCTCGCGCACGGACGCGTACACAATCACCCGCCGGCTGAATGACTAGATACACACATCGGTAGCTCAGCGGATTAGCATGGTAGAGTGATCGCGACACACAAGGCATTCTCCCTCCCCCCCACATCTCATAAAGATCGTAAAATTTCATCCCAAAGGTTTCGTCTTTGTCGATCGGACGACGATGGCCAGCCGACATGTTACAGCGTGTGACGACACGGAACATGTAGTTTACGACACGTCACGATGCGACAATCGAGCGTGACGCGCCGCCACGTCGCGAAATCTCGACGTGGCCGAGTATTTTTGTGATCGCTGACCGCACGCACACACGCACACACGCACGCTCGCTCGCACGCACGCACGCACGCATACAACCTGATCGATTACAAGCTACACGTCTAGCTGCACGTGTGTGCAGCGTTATATACAAATACTCTAATTATATAATAATAATATTAATAATAATAATATCAGGAGCGAATAAAACAAAATGTGTTCTTATTCACTCCTGATAATTATAATAATAATTATAATAATAATGACAATCATATATATATATATTATTAGGCGTCCGGGGCGCGTATTATACACGAGGCGCGCGAACAAAACAAGCGAACGGAGCAAAAAAATAAATTAGCGGCGACCGGCCGGCCGCAGGTATTTCACGCAGGTATTTACACGACGATTTGTAAGCAAAGACGACAATGATGACGACCACTGTAGTGCCGAACGCGTTTTTTTCTCATTTTTTTCTGTTTTTACAACAGCGTTCCTCTCGCTATTATAAACTCGCAATAAATAAATTCGGGTCAGAATCGCCGTCGACCGCCAGCAGGTGGCGTGGCGACACCGCGTCACAATGAGATCGACGGGAGGTTGTCGTCACGAATACACAAAATTTACACGAAAAACCCGACCTTCCCACCAGGTGGTGCTGCTGCCGGCAAAGTTGCTCATCGATGACACACCTCATGTGCCGCACGCGCGCACACGCGTGCACACGCGCACGCACGCGCGCACGCATATGCGCACATGCGCACGCACGCACACGCAAGCGCACGCACACGCGCACATGCACACGCACACACAAACACGCGCACGCACGCACGCACGCAAGCACACGCGCACGCACGCACGCACGCACGCACGCGCATCTTTCTACAATCTTACTCCTCCTCCCGAACGCACCGTGGCTTGGGACAAGCAGTCTCCCTGCAACCACACGTGCGGGGGTTCGACGAGGGCGTGCTGGGCTGCACGAAGACTCGCCCGCCCTTCACACGTTCCTAATGTTCACACTTGGTAATCTAGCATCCCCCGCGGCGGCAGCAAGCGACCCCGCGGCGGCAGCA